GGGAACCACTACCATTTTAACACCAGTGCCTTGCGCCACTAAACTTTTACATGTACCTGGACTCAACCTTACCCAAACTAGCTGAATTAGCTGAACAGTATTTCGCCTTTCGCCCTCGCCTATTTTCAAACAAGCTATGGCGTTTAAGTGGAGCCTTAATAAAACAAACGGCCTAAAGAGTGGCAAAATCTATTTGTTAAAAATGGAATCCGCTATATCGCGGTTGTTTTTCTTAATTTTACAATTACTGGGGCGACGAATATCCTTCGTTACGCCGAGAACTTTGTTAAGAATGGGTTCGTTATATCGATGTTGCTATGTAACTATATTTTAGCTGAGTCATTATGCGGAAAGTTGAAGCTATCCTTACTAACACTTGTAATGCGGTCACTTTCTATAATCCTCTCCTTTGTATGCCTCTCTTTGTATCACAAACACGAAATTTGCACTTCTTCCTTCTAGAATACAGTCAGTGAATTGCGCCTGATGTATCACAACGTACAAACCTGTTTGGATGTGCATTTGGAAGTATAAACTGGAACTGGACGACCAAGACATTATCGTCAATCTGTAGAATACAGTTAAACACATGCAGTCGGTAACTAAGACCTACCCTCATTGGTCCAATACAGATACTCATTAGACGACAGTCACTGGACTTGATGGAAATTGATTGCGAGCATAACTGTACAATAACTATGTGGCGGGGAAGAAAGAAAAGAGAAAGAAGGTACCTTCTCGTGATAAAGAGTAGTCAGCTCGTATGCTTGATAACTACGCCTAATGTAAACCTGCCAAAAAACAGAAAAACCACAAATTCAGTGTTGTGTGTAAGATTTCCTTGGCTGTTTGGTTCCAAATTGATTTGCTTGGCAAAATGATGCTTGCATATGTAACATCGTGAAACGACAATGATAAACACGACTCACAACGTATGGGATAGAAAATGATGGCAAGAAAAATGAGAAATATGAGGTTAAACAGCTGGTATCTTCAGTCACATGTCTTGCTACTTTAATACCTCTATAGCTGCTCTCCTCACTGCTTCATTGGCGTGGTAGAAAAAGCTTGGAAGAATGTCAAATATGGCATTTTCCGAGAGAATCAATTTCTGTTAAACCAAAGAAAAAATATTCAATCATTTGCACAAGTTCACAAATTTTCTTCAGGTTCACACTCCTGTAAAATCAGGACAACAACAAAAAAAGGCATTCCTAAACCTAGTCAACCAATCAGAACAACCAGGGTGTCATGGATTCAAAGTAAAGTAGACGTCAAACCGGTTGAGAAACCTGTCAAACTGGTTCAACTCGCCATGACCATCATAAAATAAAACAGAAAATGTGACATCATTGCCAAACCTGTCTGCCTTAATGTATTACCCCCGAACCTGCTAATGAGATAATCTTGTATTGTACTGATACCTTAAAAAGCACACTATGACGCCAATGTTGTAATGCATTTTACAGTTTTCCTCAAGAAAAAAACAACCGGCCTAAAGTATCCGTGCTGCACTACTGCAACCGTTGTCAAGATTATCCTGCATTGCACCCATGGCCTAGAGATAATACACTATAAAGTCAGACGTGTTATTGCATTTCTTCGCGCGAAAAAAAAAAGAAAAGAAAACGCGTAAAACATTTCCTTTTACTAGAGCTAACCTGTAGAGGGGTGACCATTATAAGGCTCATTGGAAGTAAGTTAATTGAAGTCACCGCTGCAGAAAGAGGGTCGTTAGAGGCGTCAAGATTGTATAGAGTCTTCTATAATCCAACTAGAGATATAAAACACAATCGTGACTATAAGCATTATACCTGGAAACTCTCAGAAGCCATTTGGTTGCCAGACATGTCAATGGCGGAGAGAAACAGAGACTCGATGTGGTTATGACGAAGCTCATATGAAGGTTGTTGAGCGGCCAGAAGTGCCTAAAAATATAGGAAGTTTCAATGATGGCAGTGACTTCAGTCATACACGTACTTCTAAAGAAAACTAATGTACCCGAAACTTTTTCCGAGAGCGGATGAATGTTTCCCAACGGAATTGTTTTGGTTCTGTTTCAAGTTCAAAGTTTTAGCAAAAATTGAACAATTTTATAGGTATACGCTGTGTAGTAAGTTACTCTTCAGGCGGAGAGAAGCGACGACCGGAAATAGGTCTACGTTCGCAGGCTAGCTATGTAACAAACATTCAAGAAAACTTGGGTTGGGAATGTACATCAGCGTATTTAAACCAGCCAAAAAAGCGTTTTCCCAGCTCTCACAGATCTTGACCTTGTACCAGGTTATACCCCAGTAATGCTGATGACAAAATGACTTTAAAATGAAACACTGTGGGTCAAATCAATCAATCGGTATCACATCATTAAAAAATGCTCTTTAAGTGAGCTGTTCACATAGCAAATTTTTACGAAAAAAAAAATATGCTAGAAGGACACTAAAACTATAAATGTCACTGTTGTCACCGTTGTCACCTGTAACTTCTGAGTCTATGGACGAGATCCTATGGTGTTACCATTCAACTGAAACCTCTTCAGTGGTACTTTCACATAGAACTATTCATTCAGTATGCAGTTGTAACTTCTGAGTCTGTGGACGAGATGCTATGGTGTAACCATTTAAAAGACGCCTCTTCGGGAGAAGATTTGCATGGTACAATTTGTCTTAGGATTTTACAGTTAAGATAGTTGGAATTTTGAAAACTGTCTACATTGCTGACCATAAGGACTCAAAGGGTTGATCCATGCACCGTTCTACTTACTTCTGTTTTATTTTCCATTTCCCAAAGAGGATCTAGGCCAATCCTTCGTGACGTCGGTGATGGAGAAAGGTTCTCAGGGGTTGCTGGTTCAAAACGGTTCATTATTTCATCAAAATTTCTGAAACAAAGTGTTGCAAAATAAACTAAACTTTACACGAAATCACACTCATCCTGGGTAAAATTACTGAACTTTCTTTGACTCGAGAAGGATGGGAAGAGAGTAGTTACTGAAACATCGGCAAGGATTTACGATCAATTGTACAGAGTATGGTTCGGAAAAGAAGGCCAAGGGGTTCCTAACCACTCCTTTACTACACTTTTACCTTTTATTTGCGAAAAACCTGCATTTCAAATTTTTTGGTGTACACTACAGCAACATTTACGTTTTATTTAAGCTCCAACGAATCATCCAGACTCGCTTGGAAAAAAAGAGGAAACGTTACACAATGAACTACAGTGAAACCCCGCTTTACGGACACCTGCTTAATACGGTCACCTCATTATTACGGACAGTTTGCTTTGTCCCTGGGAAAGAAGCCCTTATATTTACTCTGCATTCAATCTGCTTAATACGGTCACCTCATTATTACGGACAGTTTGCTTCGTCCCTAGGGAAAGAAAGCCCTTATATTTTCTCCAAATTCACCCGGCTTAATACGGACACTTTTTTATGCCCCCCCGTATTAACGGGGTTTGACTGTGCGTCACTGTCCTCGTCGACAAAGAATTATTTCTGTGGACTAGAATATTAGAGAGCTTTAGATTCGAGGACGACATTTAATTTTAAGTTTTCTCGCCTATTCTCTAAAAATAGACACCCCGGGAAGCATCATTGTAGTTTTTTTTTAACACAAAAGTTAGTTCGCTTATTTCTGTTAAAGGAGGTAAAGCCCTCTCCCGCTCGCTAAATGATAAGATTCCTAACATTTGATAACTCGTTGTCGCCACTACGATATTTTCGCTAAAACTCGTAGTAGAATGACGATGCCTATCACATTTTCCCGCTAAATTGACGTTGGTTCGCGCGTGCACTACTTAGTATTGGGAAAATCTCGTTCTCTTTTTCGTTTTCGTCTTAGAATCTAAAGTTCTGACTCCAATTACTGTCTAGTAAACTGCTTGAAAATGACATTCTATCAAGAAAAGGATTACGAGACTCGTAAACTGGAATGATACCTTTCAAATTCTAACAAGTTTTGAAACGCTGCCATGACACCAGTTCTCTGACATGGCTTTAATGGCTGCTGGTTGATGAGGTCGAACATGTCTTCACTGAGACTGCGAACCTAGCAAAAAGTACATTAAAAAAATAATTAAATAATAATAATTAAAAAGTTTCAAAAAATCAATAAAGGAATAAAAAATAATAAATATTAAAACTAAGGGAGCTTTTCGAAAGTCAGAATTGGCCGGTCAGACCGGTCATTTTGAAAATGAAATACGGTATTAGTCTTTTCTCGAAAGTTTTGCTAAAACCCATCACTGCCGTGCATACCATTCTAAAGTAAACTGAGATGGCTGGATAGTCCTGATTAATAGTGGAATTCTTCTAACGACCGGACTGGTTTAGCCAACCGGTACTGATCAATGGTAAGTGCCCTAAGATCTACACCTGTAGTGCAATACAACTGACTCAATGGGCGGTAAAATTGAGAGTTGCGTCTTAGAACTTGTATCTCTACCTACCCTTGGCATAGCAAGCACAGTTTTAGTGGAAGGAAATCTCTGTGGCATCCTAAGGAAAATACAAAAGAAATATTGCGAAGAGATGTTTTGCTGTCCTCGATAATGTACAATCTTCGAAGGGAACCACTACCATTTTAACACCAGTGCCTTGCGCCACTAAACTTTTACATGTACCTGGACTCAACCTTACCCAAACTAGCTGAATTAGCTGAACAGTATTTCGCCTTTCGCCCTCGCCTATTTTCAAACAAGCTATGGCGTTTAAGTGGAGCCTTAATAAAACAAACGGCCTAAAGAGTGGCAAAATCTATTTGTTAAAAATGGAATCCGCTATATCGCGGTTGTTTTTCTTAATTTTACAATTACTGGGGCGACGAATATCCTTCGTTACGCCGAGAACTTTGTTAAGAATGGGTTCGTTATATCGATGTTGCTATGTAACTATATTTTAGCTGAGNGATACCTTTCAAATTCTAACAAGTTTTGAAACGCTGCCATGACACCAGTTCTCTGACATGGCTTTAATGGCTGCTGGTTGATGAGGTCGAACATGTCTTCACTGAGACTGCGAACCTAGCAAAAAGTACATTAAAAAAATAATTAAATAATAATAATTAAAAAGTTTCAAAAAATCAATAAAGGAATAAAAAATAATAAATATTAAAACTAAGGGAGCTTTTCGAAAGTCAGAATTGGCCGGTCAGACCGGTCATTTTGAAAATGAAATACGGTATTAGTCTTTTCTCGAAAGTTTTGCTAAAACCCATCACTGCCGTGCGTACCATTCTAAAGTAAACTGAGATGGCTGGATAGTCCTGATTAATAGTGGAATTCTTCTAACGACCGGACTGGTTTAGCCAACCGGTACTGATCAATGGTAAGTGCCCTAAGATCTACACCTGTAGTGCAATACAACTGACTCAATGGGCGGTAAAATTGAGAGTTGCGTCTTAGAACTTGTATCTCTACCTACCCTTGGCATAGCAAGCACAGTTTTAGTGGAAGGAAATCTCTGTGGCATCCTAAGGAAAATACAAAAGAAATATTGCGAAGAGATGTTTTGCTGTCCTCGATAATGTACAATCTTCGAAGGGAACCACTACCATTTTAACACCAGTGCCTTGCGCCACTAAACTTTTACATGTACCTGGACTCAACCTTACCCAAACTAGCTGAATTAGCTGAACAGTATTTCGCCTTTCGCCCTCGCCTATTTTCAAACAAGCTATGGCGTTTAAGTGGAGCCTTAATAAAACAAACGGCCTAAAGAGTGGCAAAATCTATTTGTTAAAAATGGAATCCGCTATATCGCGGTTGTTTTTCTTAATTTTACAATTACTGGGGCGACGAATATCCTTCGTTACGCCGAGAACTTTGTTAAGAATGGGTTCGTTATATCGATGTTGCTATGTAACTATATTTTAGCTGAGTCATTATGCGGAAAGTTGAAGCTATCCTTACTAACACTTGTAACGCGGTCACTTTCTATAATCCTCTCCTTTGTATGCCTCTCTTTGTATCACAAACACGAAATTTGCACTTCTTCCTTCTAGAATACAGTCAGTGAATTGCGCCTGATGTATCACAACGTACAAACCTGTTTGGATGTGCATTTGGAAGTATAAACTGGAACTGGACGACCAAGACATTATCGTCAATCTGTAGAAT